GGCGCTCGCGAATGAAGAGCGGCCGCTGCACTTCCTGCACATGTGCGAATCCTTCCGCGTTTTGGGGGTGGAGACGCTCGTTCCAAGCGTTTTTATTCCGTTGGTTCACGTGGCTCTGCTTGTCTGGTCCTATTGCCAAGCCAGCAAGGGCGTAGGAGGGTTGGGACCATCATTGGTCATCGGCGCTCGCGAATGAAGAGCGTCCGCTGCACTTCGTGCACATGTGGGGATCCTTCCGCGTTTTGGGGGTGGAGACGCTCGTTCCGAGCGTTTTTCTTCCGTTGGTTCACGTGGCTGTGCTTGTCTGGTCCTATTGCCAAGCCAGCAAGGGCGTAGGAGGGTTGGGACCAGCATTGGTCATCGGCGCTCGCGAATGAAGAGCGTCCGCTGCACTTCGTGCACATGTGCCGATCCTTCCGCGTTTTGGGGGTACTAGCGCTCGTTCCGAGTGTTTTTCTTCCACCGGGTCACGAGGATGCGCTTGTCTGGTCCCCTTGCCAAGCCAGCAAGAGCGTGGGAGGGTTGCGAGCATCATCGGTCATCGGCGCTCGCGAATGAAGAGCGCCCCCTGCACTTCCTGCACATGTGCGGATCCTTCCGCGTTTCAGGGGTGGAGGCGCTCGTTTCGAGCATTGTTCTTCCGCCGGGTCACGTGGCTGTGCTTGTCTGGTCCTTTTGCCAAGCCAGCAAGGGCGTGGGTTGCGAGCATCATCGGTCATCGGCGCTCGCGAATGAAGAGCGCAACCTACACTTCGTGCACATGTAAGGATCCTAGCGCTCGTTCCGAGCGTTTTTCTTCCGCCGGGTCAAGTGGTTGCGCTTGTCTGGTCTTATTGCCAAGCCAGCAAGGGCGTGGGAGGGTTGCGAGCATCATCGATCATCGGCGCTCGCGAATGAAGAGCGCCCGCTGCACTTCCTGCACGTGTGCGGATCCTTCCGTATTTTAGTGGTGAAAGCACTCTTTCCGAGCGTTTTTCTTCCACCGGATCACGTAGCTGCGCTTGTCTGGTCATATTGCCAAGCTAGCAAGGGCGTGGGAGGGTTGCGAGCATCATCGGTCATTGGCGCTCGCAAATGAAGAGCGCCCGCTGCACTTCCTGCACGAATGCGGATCCTTCAGCATTTTGGGGGTAGAAGCGCTCATTCCAGGCGTTTTGCTTCCGCCAAGTCACGTGGCTGCGCTTGTCTGGTCCTCTTGCCAAGCCAGCAAGGGCGTGGGAGGGTTGCGAGCATCGTCGCTCTTCGGCGCTCGCGAATGAAGAGCGCCCGCTGCACTTCCTGCACGTGTGCGGAACCTTCCGCGCTTTGGGGGTAAAAGCGCTCGTTCCGAGCGTTTTTCTTCCGCCGAGTCACGTGGCTGCGCTTGTCTGGTCCTCTTGCCAAGCCAGCAAGGACATGGGAGGGTTGCGAGCAGCATCGGTCATCGGCGCTCGCGAATGAAGAGCGCCCGCTGCACTTCCTGCACATGTGCGGGTCCTTACGCGTTTTGGGGGTACTAGCGCTCGTTCCGAGCGTTTTTCTTTAACCAGGTCACGTGGCTGCGCTTGTCTGGTCCTATTGCCAAGCCAGCAAGGGCGTGGGAGGGTTGCAAGCATCATCGGTCATCGGCGCTCGCGAATGAAGAGCGACCGCTGCACTTCCTGCACGAATGCGAATACTTCCGCGTTTTGGGGATGAAAGCGTTCTTTTCGAGAAATTTTCTTCCGCCGGGTCACGTGGCTGTGCTTGTCTGGTCCTCTTGCCAAGCCAGCAAGTACATGGGAGGGTTGCGAGCATCATCGGTCATCGGCGCTCGCGAATGAAGAGCGCCCGCTGCACTTCCTGCACATGTGCGGGTCCTTACGCGTTTTGGGGGTACTAGCGCTCGTTACGAGCGTTTTTCTTCAACCAGGTCACGTGGCTGCGCTTGTCTGGTCCTATTGCCAAGCCAGCAAGGGCGTGGGAGGGTTGCAAGCATCATCGGTCATCGGCGCTCGCGAATGAAGAGCGACCGCTGCACTTCCTGCACGAATGCAGATCCTTCGGCATTTTGGGGGTAGAAGCGCTCATTCCAAGCGTTCTTTCTCCGCCAAGTCACGTGGCTGCGCTTGTCTGGTCCTCTTGCCAAGCCAGCAAGGGCGTGGGAGGGTTGCGAGCATCATCGGTCATCGGCGCTCGCGAATGAAGAGCGCCAGCTGCACTTCCTGCACGTGTGCAGGTACTTCCGCGTTTTGGGGATGAAAGCGTTCGTTCCGAGCATTTTTCTTCCACCGGATCACGTGGCTGCGCTTGTCTGGTCCTCTTGCCAAGCCAGCAAGGTCGTGGGAGGGTTGCGAGCATCATCGGTCATTAGCGCTCGCGAATGAAGAGCGCCCGCTGCACTTCCTGCACGTGTGCAGTTCCTTCCACGTTTTGGTGGTGAAAGCGCTCGTTCCGAGTGTTTTTCTTCCTCCGGGTCACGTGGCTGCGCTTGTCTGGTCCTATTGCCAAGCCAGCAAGGGCGTGGGAGGGTTGAGAGCATCATGGGTCATCGGCGCTCGCGAATGAAGAGCGCACGCTGCACTTCCTACACGTGTGCGGATCCTTCCGCGTTTTGGTGGTAGAAGCGCTCATTCCAAGCATTTTTCTTCCGTCAAGTCACGTGGCTGCGCTTGTCTGTTTGCAAAGCCAGCAAGGGCGTGGGAGGGTTGCGAGCATCATCGGTCATTGGCGCTCGCGAATGAAGAGCGCCCGCTGCACTTCCTGCACGCGTGCGGATCCTTCCGCGTTTTGGGGGTGGAAGCGCTCGTTCCGAGCGTTTTTCTTCCGCCATGTCATGTGGCTGGACTTGTCTGGTCCTATTGCCAAGCCAGCAAGGGTGTGGGAGGGTTGCGAGCATCATCTGTCATCGGCTCTCGCAAAAGAAGAGCGCCCGCTGCACTTCATGTACGAATGCGGATCCTTCAACATTTTGGGGGTAGAAGCGCTCATTCCAAGCGTTCTTCTTCCGCCAAGTCACTTGGCTGCGCTTGTCTGGTCCTCTTGCCAAGCCAGCAAGGGCGTGGGAGGGTTGCGAGCATCATCGGTCATCGGCGCTCGCGAATGAAGAGCGCCCGCTACACTTCCTGCACGTGTGCAGTTCCTTCCGCGTTTTGGGGGTGAGAGCCCTCGTTCCGAGCGTTTTCTTCCGCTGGGTCACGTGGTTGCACTTGTCTGGTCCTGTTACCAAGCCAGCAAGGGCGTGGGAGGGTTGCGAGCATCATCGGCGCTCGCGAATGAAGAGCGCCCGCAGCATTTCATGCACATGTGCGGATTCTTCCGCGTTTTGGGGGTGGTAGCGCTCATTCCGAGTGTTTTATTCCAACAGATCACGTGGCTGCGCTTGTCTAGTCTATTACCAAGCCAGCAAGGGCGTGGAAGGGTTGCGAGGTGCGGAGATAACTAGTGCAACGGGAGCTAGACTGCGGGCTAGGCACGGGGCAAGAGTGATCGTAGCGTTCGTTCGTTCCTTAGTCGTTTCCAAGTGCTAACACTGCTTGCTAGTTCACGGGGAAAATTTGCAAGAGTTTCACTAGGAAATCATCACAACAAAAGTTCAGAATGATTGCATCAACATTGGCAACACTGACTACATCAGACCTAGCAAGGCTTGCTGGTCCACTGCCAGCGCAGCACGGTCGACCGCGTGCCAGCACAACTCGGTCGACCGCGCTCCAGCAGGGCAGAGTCGCGGCTTGCCAACGTTGCAAGTCCGCGGTGTGCCAACGCTGCAGTATGTCGGCTGCACAGCGTCGCATCCGCGGGACAACGGTGCACCAGCTTCGCAGGTGCGTGCAGCTGGTTGGCGCCCAACTCCCCGTCACATGCCCAGCGCAGACACTCCGCCCGTGACGGCGCCCACCAGCCACGTCGACCTCGGGATACCACCCCCGAGATCGCCATCGTAGATAACATCCCCGGCGATTTTCGCGTACGTCGCCCGGGTATCCTGGTTGACTGGGTACTTCGCGGTCCTCCCGCGGTTTCTCGGTCACCGCGGTCCTCCGCGGTTTCGTGGATCCACGATCCCCCGTGATTTCGTGGCTCCGCGGTCCCCCACGATTTCGTGGCTCGGCGGTCCCCCACGATTTCGTGGCTCCGCGGTCCCCCACGATTTCGTGGCTCCGCGGTCCCCCACGATTTCGTGGCTCCGCGGTCCCCCACGATTTCGTGGCTCCGCGGTCCCCCACGACTTCGTGGCTCCGCGGTCCCCCACGATTTCGTGGCTCCCACGGGCCACTGCAATTTCGTGGCTCCCACGGGCCACTGCAATTTCGTGGCTCCCACGGTCGGCTCCGCCCAAGCGAGGACGGGGCCAAACACAACTCCCGTTGACACGAGCATCATCGGTCACCGGTGTTCGCGAATGAAGAGCGCCCGCTGCACTTCGTGCACATGTGTGGATCCTTCCGCATTTTGGGGGTGAAAGCGCTCGTTCCGAGCGTTTTTCTTCCGCCAAGTCACGTGGCTGCGCTTGTGTGGTCCTCTTTCCAAGCCAGCAAGGGTGTGGGAGGGTTGCGAGCATCATCGGTCATCGGCGCTTGCAAATGAAGAGCGCCCGCTGCACTTCGTGCACATGTGCGGATCCGTTCGCGTTTTGGGGGTACTAGCGCTCATTACGAGCGTTTTTCTTCCCCCGGGTCACGTGGTTGCGCTTGTCTGGTCTTCTTGCCAAGCCAGCAAGGGTGTGGGAGGGTTGCGAGCATCATCGGTCATCGGCACTCGCGAATGAAGAGTGTCCGCTGCACTTCGTGCACATGTGCGGAACCTTCCGCGTTTTGGGGGTACTAGTGCGCGTTCCGAGCGTTTTTCTTCCGCCAGGTCACGTGGCTGCGCTTTTCTGGTCCCATTGCCAAGCCAGCAAGGGCATGGGAGGGTTGCGAGCATCATCGGTCATCGGCGCTCGCAAATGAAGAGCGCCCGCTGCACTTCCTGCACGAATGCGGATCCTTCAGGAATTTGGTGGTAGAAGCGCTCATTCCAAGCGCTTTTCTTCCGCCAAGTCACGTGGCAGAGCGGTACTCCAGAGCGGTGTCTCGCGTGTTGGCAAGGTAGGCGAGACAGCGGTCGACTTCGCGCCAGTGCTGGTCGCTCCTCACCGTGAGGCCGCTCCCCAGCTTGCTGCACGCGAATGCGATGTCCGGCCTCGTCGTCCTCGCCGCGAACTGCAGCGAGCCGACCTTCTGCCGGTACTCCTCCTCCTCGCGCTCCTGCGCCTCCTCGTCGTCGAATGTCTGCTCCGCGTAGGCGGCGACGGAGACCGGCGTCTTCGGAGTGCGCCCGGTCTGCTCCTCGTCTATGAAGCGCCTGCGCAGCTTGTCGGCGTAGCCCTGCTGGTGCAGCCACAGTTTTCGCGCCGGCCTGTCGCGCACGATCTCCAGGCCGAGATACTTCTGCACCGGCGAAATTTCGCGCAGCTCGAAAGCGGCCTCCAGCAGCTCCTTCAGCTCCTTCAGCATCGCGGTGCTGCTGCTCGCAGCGAGGAGGTCGTCGACGTAGACCAACACCCAGCAGGTCACCTTGTCGTCACCGACCTTGAAGTACAGAGCCTCATCGACTTGGCTCTTCTTCCACCCGGCGCCAACCAACACGTCGTTGAGAGCCGTGTACCACAGCAGCGGCGACTGCTTCAGCCCGTAGAGGCTCTTCAGCAGCTTGCACACCCGGCCGGTCCCGTCGTTGAAGTAGTCCGGCTGGTACATGTACAGCACGCGGTCGAGCTTGCTCTGCAAAAAGGCGTTCTTCATGTCCAGCTGCATCAGGTTGAGGTCGAGGACGGCGACGATGCTGAGGAAAATACGCAGCGTGACGTAGCTGCTCACCGGCGCGTACGTCTCGTCGTAGTCAGCGCCATACACCTCCGTGAAGCCTTTCACGACCAGCCTCGCCTTTTCGCGCTCGACAGTGTCGTCGATGCGGTACTTCGTTGTCAGCACCCACTGGTGGGCGTTCGACCAGCTCCCAAGTGCCCATGTTGATGAGGCTACGAATCTCCTCCTCCATGGCTGCCTTCACCGCCGGGCCCTTCCAGCTCGCTAACGCCTCCTTCACCGTCATGGTCGAAATGTCCCAACGGTGCTCGGGATCGGCGTGCATGTCGGGGTCGAGCTCCGAAAACTCCTCATCGTCCTCGGCGTCATCGTACGCCAGGTCGTCGTCGTCCACATCGTAGACCGTGGTGAAGGCAGCGGGGACGAAGAAGTCGGGTGGCCTCTGAATTCGGCCCGACTTTCGAAATCCGGGCTGCACCTCCACCACGTCGCTCGATGTGCCTTCATCGAACTGCTCCCCTGTCGTCCGCTCCTCTAAAGCGAGCTCCGCATTCGACGGCTCCCCTGTCGACGGCTTCTCTGAAACGCGCTTCCTGTTCGAGAGCTCCCCAGACGACGGCTTCTCTGAAACGCGCTTCCTGTTCGAGAGCTCCCCTGACGAAGGCTTCTCTGACACGCGTTTCCTGTTCGAGAGCTCCCCTGCCAACTGCTTCGCGGTTCCCTCCGTGGGCTTCTTCGCGGTCTCCTCCGCGATCTCCTCCGCGGTCTCGTCCGCGGTCTCGTCCGCGGTCTCCTTCGCGGTTTTCGCGGTGTCCTTCGCGGTGCCCGTCGCGGTCTCCTTCACGGTGTTCTTCGCGGCCTCCTTCGCGGTGTTCTTCGCGGCCTCCTTCGCGGTGTTCTTCGCGGCTTCCTTCGCGGCGTCCAAAGTTGGCTGCACATCCGCGGCCCGCTTCTCCGCGACTGGCTGGGCATCACGTCGGCCACCGGCGATGCTTTTGGCCGGCGCCACAGGCGACGCCCCACGACTCCCCTCATCGCCGGAGGCCGACACCGAAGTTAAGCCACGCAGTCCGACGGGAAGGGGATGGGAAGAAGGGGCAGGAGATGGCGAGGCAGGGGCGACCGCAACATCCTCATCAGCCTGTTCACCAACCTCGGCGAGCAGAGGAAGCGTTGCCGTCGAGGTGTCCGTCGGCGGGTTGGCCCGCGTCCGCCCCGACGCGGGCCCGAATTCCGACTTCCACACCTCCAGCGACAGAGTTTCGTAGAACACCACGTCCGACGTGGTGACCACCCGGTTGTCAGCGATGTCAAGGAGCTCCCAGCCCTTGCTCTCCTCCGACACGCCGAGGTGAAGGCCCCACCGGGCCTTCGGCTTCAGCTTCCCACCGCGCTGCTGCTCAGGGACGAGAAATTGTGCCATGCAGCCCTACACCCGCGCCAGTGACAGGTCGGGCTTCTGCCCGGTGAGAAGCTGGTACGGCGTCGTCCCCGCGGGCAGCGTCGACCGCTCCAGGCAGTTGCGAACCCAGACGGCCTGCCGCAGAGCGAGATGCCACCAGTGGTGCTGCACGCCCATGTGCAGCAGCATCGTCCGCACCGACTCCACCACCGTCCTCATCTCCCGCTCCGCCATGCCATTCTGCTGCGGGGTGTAGGGGCAGGTCAAGTCGTGGACGATGCCCTTGCTGTCCACGAAGGCGGTGAAGTCCTTTCCGAGGAACTCCCCTCCGCGATCAGAGCGCAGTTGCAGCACCGAGTGCTTCGCCTGCCGCTCCACCAGCACCAACCACTTCTGGAACTCCAGCAGCACGTCCGACTTCTTGGCGACCGGCCGCACCCACACGTAGCGGGTCTTGCGGTCCTTCAGCAGCAAGAAGTACAGGCTGCCGTCCTTGGCAGCCACGCGAAATGGCCCGCACAAATCGATGTGCACGACGGCCAGGACGTCGTCTACTTCGGAGCCGTGGTCGGGGAAGGTGTGTCGCGCCAGCTTCCCGCCGACGCACGAAACACACGGTGAGTCGGCGCCAGATACCGACTTGAGGTCCAGCCCAGTGGCGACCTCGTGCTTCGCCGAGCTCCGGATGGTGTCCATGCCAACATGCGCCAGCCTCACGTGCAGCCTGTTCGGGGTTGCCTTCGTCGCCGAGACGATCGCCCGCAGAGCCACCTCCTCTTTCGCGGGCGTCGTCGCCGTTACCGCGCATGGGCGTAGGTCAGTGCAGAGGACCCGGCCGGTGTACGTCGCTCGGCCGAGCACGTCCCCCGCCGTGGAGACGAGCAACATCCGATCGCCGTCGTCCTTCAGCGTCACCCCGCTCTCCTTCAGCTGGCCAGCCGAAAGCAGATTCGCCTGCACGCCCGGGACGTAGAGAACGTCGGAGATGAGCACTCGCTTCCTGGCCTCCCCTTGCAGCGCAACCGTGCCACGGCCGCGAACGTCCTGCAGCGCCCCATTGAAGCCACGCACGTGCTTCACGTCGCCGCTCGGCCCCAATTCCACGAAGGCCGCCTTCGTCCCCATCAGGTGGTGCGAGCAGCCGCTGTCGAGCAGGACCACCGCGGGGTTCTCCTGCACAGCTGCCGCCACCGCCTCGAAATCCTCGCCAGCTTCCGGCGCCAGGGAGACAGTCGGCTCCACTATACCGACCAGCGAGCACGACGCCTCCTTGCCGTCTCGCCCTTTGCCACCCGCGGAAGAGTCGGCGTACTTCGCCGAGGTCGATTTCGTCGACTGCTTTTCTTTTCGCGGTTGGTTTCCTTGACCCGGACGACGGCTGCCAAAACTTCCGCGGCCTCCCTTCGCGTCGTCGTCGTCGGAATCGCTGCGGTCGGGGCACTCGAAGGAGAGGTGATCGGGATCGCCGCACAGCCAGCATTCCCGACGTCGACCTCCTCCTCCACGACCGCCATCCTTGGACGACTTCTGCTTGTCAGCGTCCTTCGCCGGCTTCCCGCCACCGCGGTGACTGCCACCAGACTGCCCGCGCTGTCCCGGGCGACCACCTTGCTTCGCGGGGGCCGCGAAATGGACTTGCGTGAGAAGCTCTTGGGACCGCTCAGCCTCCTGCATCGCCTCGTCCTGCAGGATGTACGAGGTCAGTGTGTCCTCGTTGAGCGTCGCCCGCGTGCTCGGCGCCATCGACAGCCGCTTCAGCAGATTGTAGCTGCTCGGGAGTCCTTGCATGACGTGCATGACGTACGAAGCCGTCGAGTATTCCGCGCCAGCCATCCGAATGATGGTGAGAATTCGCCGAGCTCGATTGCAGTAGTCAGTCGCGGTCTCCTCGTCGCCCATACGCAGGTGCGTCAACTGCCCCTCAAGCTGGGAGATGAACAAGTCGTCGGTGACCTGGTAAGTTGACTCGATGAAATGCCACGCCCGGTGGCCAGCGTCGAGGTACTCCCTGCACGACTTCAGGGCGATCTGTACGCCCGGCGAGCAGCACCGCGAAATGACCGTAAAAGTCAGCAAATGCACGACGCGAAATTCTGCTCGCAGGTCGGGGTAGTGCTCCTCCGGCGTCGCCACGGTCCCGCGGGCGAAGCCTATCAGCCCGGCCAACTCCAGCTGGTGCTCGATGGCTTCCTTCCACGTGAGGATGTCGGGACGACCGACCAGCGGAGGGGTGACCGAGATCCTGTCCGGCGAGAACTTGAAGTAGCCGTAGCTCGGCGCAATTCCTCCCGCGGTCACGTGTGTCGCCGACATCGGCGCCAATTCACTTCATCTGCCTCCGACGTAGTTTCACGGGGCCCCTGCAGCCGTGGACGACTGCATCCCTCGCGCCTGAACGCCGCCGACTTCATCGGCGCGAATCACACCTCGCTGCCTCGATGTGCCTCCCGCGCTGCTGCCGACTTGGCCACCACCCGCGTTGACGTCCGCGTCACCGCCGCCCGCGTTGTTCACCGGTCGAGGAGACGCAGGCCGAGAGGGAGGGTGCTCCGTCGCCCACAAGGAGCGGATGCCAGCCTCGACGACCGTCCAGAGGATGTCGCCATACTCGTTGGCCTCGTGTTTTCTCCTCACGTTCTCCAGCCATGCCTCCAGGGTGTCCACCACCCCTCCGTCACCTACGGCTCCTACCATAGTGACTACCGCACAGCTGTCGGTCTACGAACAAGCTAGGTGAGTGAGAAGACAGCTAAACCAAAGGTTTCGTCGTGGTGTCGTCCACGCTCACCGCACCATGCGGAGATAACTAGTGCAACGGGAGCTAGACTGCGGGCTAGGCACGGGGCAAGAGTGATCGTAGCGTTCGTTCGTTCCTTAGTCGTTTCCAAGTGCTAACACTGCTTGCTAGTTCACGGGGAAAATTTGCAAGAGTTTCACTAGGAAATCATCACAACAAAAGTTTCAGAATGATTGCATCAACATTGGCAACACTGACTACATCAGACCTAGCAAGGCTTGCTGGTCCACTGCCAGCGCAGCACGGTCGACCGCGTGCCAGCACAACTCGGTCGACCGCGCTCCAGCAGGGCAGAGTCGCGGCTTGCCAACGTTGCAAGTCCGCGGTGTGCCAACGCTGCAGTATGTCGGCTGCACAGCGTCGCATCCGCGGGACAACGGTGCACCAGCTTCGCAGGTGCGTGCAGCTGGTTGGTGCCCAACTCCTCGTCACATGCCCAGCGCAGACACTCCGCCCGTGACGGCGCCCACCAGCCACGTCGACCTCGGGATACCACCCCCGAGATCGCCATCGTAGATAACATCTCCGGCGATTTTCGCGTACGTCGCGCGGGTATCCTGGTTGACCGGGTACTTCGCGGTCCTCCCGCGGTTTCTCGGTCACCGCGGTCCTCCGCGGTTTCGTGGATCCACGATCCCCCGTGATTTCGTGGCTCCGCGGTCCCCCACGATTTCGTGGCTCCGCGGTCCCCCACGATTTCGTGGCTCCGCGGTCCCCCACGATTTCGTGGCTCCGTGGTCCCCTACGATTTCGTGGCTCCGCGGTCCCCCACGATTTCGTGGCTCCGCGGTCCCCCACGATTTCGTGGCTCCGCGGTCCCCCACGACTTCGTGGCTCCGCGGTCCCCCACGATTTCGTGGCTCCCACGGGCCACTGCAATTTCGTGGCTCCCACGGGCCACTGCAATTTCGTGGCTCCCACGGGCCACTGCAATTTCGTGGCTCCCACGGGCCACTGCAATTTCGTGGCTCCCACGGTCGGCTCCGCCCAAGCGAGGATGGGGCCAAACACAACTCCCGTTGACACGAGCATCATCGGTCACCGGCGTTCGCGAATGAAGAGCGCCCGCTTCACTTCGCTTTCCATCACCCCGCCCCATTCTCCCGCTTTCCATCACCCCGCCCCATTCTCCCGCTTTCCATCACCCCGCCCCATTCTCCTGCCTTCCATCACCCCACCCCATTCTCTCCCTTTCCATCACCCCGCCCCATTCTCCCGCTTTCCATCCCCCCGCCCCATTCTCCCGCTTTCCATCACCTTGCCCCATTCTCCCGCTTTCCATCACCCCGCCCCATTCTCCCGCGTTCCATCACCCCGCCCCATTCTCCCGCTTTCCATCACCCCGCCCCATTCTCCCGCTTTCCATCACCCCGCCCCATTCTCCCCCTTTCCATCACCCCGCCCCATTCTCCCGCTTTCCATCACCCCCGCCCCATTCTCCCGCTTTCCATCACCCCGCCCCATTCTCCCGCTTTCCATCACCCCGCCCCATTCTCCCGCGTTCCATCACCCCGCCCCATTCTCCCGCTTTCCATCACCCCGCCCCATTCTCCAGCTTTCCATCACCCCGCCCCATTCTCCCCCTTTCCATCACCCCGCCCCATTCTCCCGCTTTCCATCACCCCGCCCCATTCTCCCGCTTTCCATCACCCCGCCCCATTCTCCCGCTTTCCATCACCCCGCCCCATTCTCCCGCTTTCCATCACCCCGCCACATTCTCCCGCTTTCCATCACCCCGCCCCATTCTCCCTCCTTCCATCACCTCGCCCCATTCTCCCGCTTTCCATCACCCCGCCCCATTCTCCCGCTTTCCATCACCCCGCCCCATTCTCCCTCCTTCCATCACCCCGCCCCATTCTCCCACCTTCAATCACCCCGCCCCATTCTCCCGCTTTCCATCACCCCGCCCCATTCTCCCGCTTTCCATCACCTTGCCCCATTCTCCCGCTTTCCATCACCCCGCCCCATTCTCCCGCGTTCCATCACCCCGCCCCATTCTCACCGCTTTCCATCACCCCGCCCCATTCTCCCCCTTTCCATCACCCCGCCCCATTCTCCCGCTTTCCATCACCCCGCCCCATTCTCCCGCTTTCCATCACCCCGCCCCATTCTCCCACTTTCCATCACCCCGCCCCATTCTCCCGCTTTCCATGACCCCGCCCCATTCTCCCGCTTTCCATCACCCCGCCCCATTCTCCCGCTTACCATCACCCTTCCCCATTCT